AAAAAAAAAAAAAAAAAAAAGATATACAATACTCTTTATTGTAAATTTCATATAGCCCATTGACTCTCACAAAATGTTTTTTTTCCCAACTTTTTGTATCTAACTGATCTTTTTATCCAATTCAGTCATGATTCAAGAATTGAATTGTATCCTAATCGGTTAACTAGTTTGCTAATAAATTGTTTTTTTGATACTGATGTGATCTGTTTATCTATTTCTCACATGCGAATGTATAAGACTGAAAACATTTTTGTATTCAGCACTGTTAAGTTTTATCATGTAATTTTTAATAATGGTTGCACTTCACACTCAACTTGCAAAATTCCTGAAAATGTAACTATCAGCTTTCACAAGCCTGCACAAACTGGCTCTAGCACACCACTGCTTGGAGGCTACCAGTGCCCTGTCCACTAGTAGTCACAGCGGTCATATCCTCAAGGGAAAAAAGCAGAGACCAGAAGCCTGGCTGCCTGGGGAGGGAGCAGGTTCACTGCCTGCGTTGGGTTTGTTTCCCTCCGCAGGTCTGCCTTGGAAAACAGCCCTGACCTGGTTACACTCAGTGAGGAGGAAGCGCGCCTCCTGCTGGCTGCACTGGTGCAGGACTATGTGCAGATGAAGGCCAGTGAGCTGGAGCAGGTGCAGGAGCAGGAGACAGAGGGTTCCAGGTGAGGCTCCCCAGTGCCCAGCACCAGACCTCCCCTCCCCTCGAAACCCTCCCCCCAGAAGGCGTATTCCAGAAGGTAGGAGAGAACACACTGGCCAGGAGACCAGCAGGCTGTGTTGTCCACCAGGCCCCGAGGCCCAAGCGTTCTCAGGCTCCATGAGAAACAAAGGTACAGCTGGAGAGACTGTGGTTAGACACATTTAAAAACTCCATTGCTAGCCGGGCTCGGTGGCTCAGCCTGTAATCCCGCGTCTTTGGGAGGCTGAGGTGAGTGGATTGCCTGAGCCCAAGGGTTCGAGATCCCCCTGGGCAGGCAAGACCTCATCTCTACAATAAATCAAAAAATCAGCCGGGCGTGGTAGCGCATGCCTGTAATTCCGGCTACTCGGAAGGCTGAGGCGGAAGGATCACTGGAGCCCAGCAGGTCGAGACTGCGGTGACTGGGAGCAGCCACTGCACTCCAGTCTGGGCGACAGAGTGAGACTCCAACTCAAAAAAATAAAAATAAAAACTCCATTGCTGAAAGCTGTTAGGAAATGACATGGGAAGTGTGGAACCACTCACGGTGGGAATTGCCCTTGTAGTACTGGGGAGACTTCCCAGCATGAGTTAGGAGTGGTGAGTGTGAAACCAGGGGATGGGCCAGGTATCCCAGGAGGGTTTAGGACTTTCACTCGTGTATGATGTTCTTTCTCACCTGCAAGGAACCTTCATTTCACGTTTGCAAGGTGAAGATGAAGGCCTTGCAGGGGGAGGGGACAGGTAGAGCAGTGTCTGAGGTAGGTCTGGAGCATCCATGGAGAAGTGCATGTTGTCACAGGGCCAGGGAGAGCATCCTTCCCCAGTCCCAGCTCCCTGTGTGACCTGAGCCTGAGCAGAGACAAGCCCCTGGTCAGGTCCCAGTACTGTCCAGGCAGAGGCATGCGTTGCACCTGCATCCACCCCGAGAACCCCTCTGCTGAGCATGAAGAGCTAAACAGCATGTGGAATGCCAGAAGAGGTCACCTTTCCCCACCCAGCCCTTCCCCACCCAGCCTTGCACCTCTGACTCCTCCTGACTGTCCCTCCTGCTCCCACTCAACGCACCCCCTGCCTGGTCTAACCTTCTGAGTGACTGCCCATGGGGACAGACCCTGATGCATGGTACTGTGTGGCATGTCTTTTCCCCGCAGCCTGGACAGCCCCAGATCTAAGCGGTGCGGTAATCTGAGTACTTGCATGCTGGGCACGTACACTCAGGACTTCAACAAGTTTCACACATTCCCCCAAACTGCCATTGGGGTTGGAGCACCTGGCAAGAAAAGGGATATGGTCAGCGACTTGGAGAGAGACCACCGCCCTCATGTTGGCACGCCCCAGGATGCCAACTAACCTCCTCCCTCTCCTTTCTAATTTCCTTTCTTGCTTCCTTCCTATAACTTGATGCTTGTGGTTTCTCTCTGATTGTTCTTTGGGGTGGTATCAGTGGCTTTCCTTGTGGCAAAGAATGTCTGGAACCTCAGATGGGAGGAGAGAGAGCGGGTTCACAGAGTGGAAGAGTCACCCAGGAAAAGATCAGAGAGTGAGGGCTCCCCTAAGTCCCCCCAAAATTTCATAGCACAGCTTCTCTGTCCTGCTTCTGAATGTGCTGGTCATTGGGGGAATAAAACTATTTTTCTAAAAAGACCTCAGATGTGGTAGTCATTGCCCTGGCCCATGTCCCAGGATACATGGTGTCTAGGACCTGTGCTTAGAAGTAGCCTTTCCCTGGGGACACAGGGTGTGGTGGGTGGTTCCTGTGACCCAGCTCAAGCAGCAAGAACAGGAGTGCTAAGTAGCAGGTAAGCACGTCTGGGACTCAACACTGCAAACCCCATTCCTCTTCCAGGTAAGAATGGGGAATTTTCATCTTCCTAAGTGGGGTATCTGGTGCCTGTGACTGGGGTATGGATTCTACAGTCCTTGTGATGGGGTTGGATGTGGAACTATAATTCACTCTAGTTTCATTAGGCTTTGCTGATTTTTATTCTATGAGATTCGCTGCTACAGCTCTGTATTCCATGGCCAGCCACCCAGAGCCACCTTTGGGATTTCTGACACCCTTGGGAATGTCTATGGAGAGTGATCATGGCATTTTTCCCAAATGGCCTTATGATTTTCTTCTGTGATAATTGTGTTTAAGAGAAACACTTAAGGTTAATTGGTGCCTTTCAGAGCAGTAACTTTTTACCATGATGGTCCCATGGGGCAGGCTCTTCCCTCCAGCCTCTCACTCACAGGCCCTCTCTTTCTCCATTCTGCAAATCAGCGTCACCGCCCAGAAGAGAGCCTGCAACACTGCCACATGTGTGACCCATCGGCTGGCTGGCTTGCTCAGCAGATCAGGGGGTGTGGTGAAGAGCAACTTCATGCCCACCAACGTGGGTTCCAAAGCCTTTGGCCGGCGTCGCAGGGACCTTGAGGTCTGAGCCACTAAATGACTCCAGGAAGAAGGTGACTGCCCTGTAGGCCATGTCCATGTCCATTCCCCCATGGGAGGATGGATTACCAGATGTAAAGGAGTATAGTTCATGTTCTGAGCCTCCCTGGGTCCATATGGTTGAAGAATAATCCGCCAGGGAAGGTACCCACACTGGTGTTGGGAGAAAGGACACAAAGTTCCAATAGCTGCAACCCTAGAATTTGGATTCATTTTCTCTGTTTTTGCAGTCCCTCCTTGTGACACTGAGATCATCAGGTTAGGAATTATAGATCTTGTTTATTTATAGTACAGTTCCTTGCCATTCAAATTGTTACTATTCTAGCACTTGAGCTTGAACAGTAATGGCACTACCTTTTTAGAGAATACATTGCTATGCCACTTACCTCTGAATTAAGAGCTCAAGAACTGTGTTTGCCTTCTGCTAGTTATGTGACCATTGATCAGCATTAACTCTCTCTGAGCCTTGGTTTCTCTATCTGTAAATTGAGGGCTACAATAGTACCTACCTCCTAACATTAATATAAAGAGGAAATTGGATAAGATGTCAAGAGTCTGGCCATCAGTAACTAAATTCTAGCTATGTTTTTCCCTCCTAGGTCACAATGAAGCTGAATGCTACTTCTTTTAATGCGTAATGAAAGCAATTTGTTGGAAAAGATCCACAGAAGACATACGTATTTGCATCCTTCTTGATACTGAAAACTATCTTCTTTGTTTGAAAGGAACAAATGCTAAATGCAGAATAAGCTCATTGCAGTTATTTATTGTGCATATTTTTAATATTTGATTCTGTATCCAATAAACGTGGCAGCATGTATCATTGGCTTATCTAGTAGCAAATCTGGGCTCCATCAGCCATCCTATTAACGTTGGCAGCTCTGCTAAACCTCAGGGGGACATGAAATCACTGCCTCTTGGGTGTCTGGGGACACATGGTAATGCTGTGCCTTGACAGAACTGTTTGTTTAAAGAAATGTCAATGTTGTCATTTGTGAACTTCATCAAAATTAAAAATGTATTTTCTATACCCTTAAATGAAATCTCTGCTGCTATTTATTCTGGTTTTCCCAGGAGAACTTCGGAGCCCTGTGAGCACTTTATTGACCAGGCTGACTCATTTGAAGCAAAAGTAACATGCTGGGGATGAATTCTCAGTATCTTGCACCCTCAGTTTCTAGTGAAACATTCCTCATTGAAGTTAGAGCCCTGTGCAGGTCAAAGAGGACAATTCACATTGTTTTGAGAGAATGTCCTGGTCCTCGGCCCCAGAGGTTACCCATGCACTCATCTTCTCCTTGACAGGTTCGCCCTTACTCATTCCTGCCTTTCCTTCCCATAAGAGTCTCTCCATGCACCTTGTAGCCTAGAAAGCCCTTCAGAAACAGTGGTTCAGAGTTGTAAATGGGAATCACAGACTGACCATCCTAGAAAGGTCATCAATGCCGTCTAATCCAACTTGTTTATTCTATGAGGTGCAGAAAAGCATCTTGCTCAAAGTTCAGAAATAAGTTTATAAGACATTCACATACATAACAGATATGTATCGAGTGCCTCCTATAGCCTAGGCACTATTCTAGGCACCAAGAAGTAGAACAATGAACAGAATAGGCAAAACTCCCTGCACTTAGAGCCTATATTCTAGTTGGGGGAGATTGAAGTGATACATGTTGTAGAGTCATAGACTCTCAGTATTGGAAGGAATTTGGAATGTGATAGGGTCTGACATCTCATCCAATGAAAGAATTTCGCAACATCAATATCCCTGGCATCCACTGGGAGCACCAGTGACAAGCTCCTGAGTGTAACTCTCAAGATGACTAAGCAGCCAGTTTCCCTGGAGTTAATTAGAGTTTCCCTGTCAGTTAATTAGTGTGAGTGAGTGAGCGAACAAGTGAGCAAGTGAGCTAGCTAGCACGAGCTATCTAGTTAGTTACTTAGAAAATCAGCCCCTTCTGCACATTGACTCATTATTTTCTCAGCCTTATACAGAATTAGGTCTCTTTCTCTCTTTCAGTCTGTACTCATGCAGTAGTCCAACCATCCCTATAAAAGGTAGATCTATGTCTCACTTATGTTCAAAACATTCCAAAGACTCTCCATATCACTGAGCAAACTCCTGAGACATTGCAATGGTCTCCAAGTAACAAGGTGAACTTCCCTTCCTCTCCTCTCACCACCATTCCAATTAATCTAATTAAATCTGGTTTGCAGATGACTGCCTTCTCATTGTGTCCTCACCTGGCCTCTTCTCTGTGTGCATGCATGGAGAAAACAGGCTTTCTTGTGTGTCTTTCTCTTCTTATAAGGATATCAGTTCTATCAGACTAGGGCCCCATCCTTGTGACTTCTTTAACCTTAATTACCTCCCTAAAGGCCTTGTCTCCAAATGCCTTTAGAGTTTAGGCTATAGTAGGCACTCGATACATATCTGTTATATATGTGAATGTCTGATAAACATTGGGGGTGAGGGCTCCAACATATAAATTTGGGAGGACACAATTCAGTCCACAACACCCCCAATAGTATGAATCACTTAACTATTGCCACAGCAACACTACATAAAAGCAACTTCAATTCCAGACTTACAATAATGCTTATTTTTCTTGCACGTGAGTTTGCACATTGGTTTGAATGAGATTGACTTCAGCTCTTCTATTTAATGCAGAGTCAGGGGGAAGACCCCCAAAATTTACAGTAAGTCCCCTACATACAAACAAGTTCCATTCCGTGAGCATGTTCATAAGTCCAATTTGTTCATAAGTCCAACAAAGTTAGCCTAGGTACCAAACTAACACAATCAGTTATACAGTAAGTCCCTTACACTCAAACAAGTTCCATTCCAAGTTTGCAACTTGAAAGTTTGTATGTAGAGGACTTACTATATACCAAAATTTATTGGATGGACAATTGAGTTGTTGTAAGTTTTGTTTATTATGAATGAAACTTTTATGACCATTCACATACTAGTACTTCTTTGGACAGTTGAAGTCATTTCTCTTGGATAACATCTAGAAGAGGTAATGTGCATAATAACTAGATTGTTCTCAAATGGCTATGCCATTTTACATTCCTAGCAGAAATGCAGGATCATTTGACTTGCTCCATATATCCTTGCCAATGCTTGGTGTTTTCAGTCTTTTTATTTTGGTCATTTTTATGATTCTGTAGCAGTATCTCATTGTGGGGCTTTATTCTTATTTCCCGAATAACTACTGATATCTCTTTATCTTCTTATTCATTTATTGGCCATTTGTTTATCTTCTTTTGTAAAGTTTCTATTTAAATATGTTGCCCATTTTTAGTTGGACGGCTTTTCTTATTATTATTGAGATGCAGGAGATCTTTGTATATTCTACATAGCAGTCATGCTTCCTTTCTGGCCACTATTTCACTCATCTGCTCACTTTTCTCTCCCTCTTAGACCACTTTCTCTGTGGGAAAACAGAAGCCATGTCATGAGTCCACTAAAGTAGGCTGTGGAGAGGTCCGTGTGTCAAAGAATGTACATCTCTGGCCAATGGCCAGTGAGGAATGGAGCCCTGTTAATAGCCAGATGTATGAGCTCAGAAGTGGATTACTCAAGCCCAGTTGAACTTTGAGAGCCTTGATTGCAGGCCCAGTTTGGAAGCTTACTGCTTTCTCATGAGAGACTCTGAGCTAGAACCACCCAGCCAAGCCTCTTCCAGATTCCTGACCCTCAGAAACTGTGTGAGATTAGTATCTGTTGTCCTGGGCTGCTAAGTGTTGAGGCAACTTGCTACACAGTAATACATAGCTAATAACCATCCAACCTATGATAACTCTAGCTCAACCCGCCAAATCTGGAAAGCACATTGGAGCTTGCTGGAAGTGCAGTCTGAGTTCCAGTTCAAGGACGAAGTTCCCAGAAAGGAGGATGCATCGTCAGATCTCTTCCCACTGATTCCCAAGCCCAGATTAGATTATATGCAATAGCATAAGCTGCTTCCACTCCAAATGCAATCAAGCCCTTCTGTTCTTCCTCATTACATAGTGTTTTGTTTTATTTTATTTTACCAGAACCCTCTTTCTTTCTCTGATGTCTCATTTCTCTTCATTCTATAGCTACTGTTTCATTTCATTCTTTCTCCCTGTAAGACTTTCGTGGTAGAAAGAAACTTTTAAGGCCATGTAGACCAACCACCTAGTTGAATCTCCTCTATATCTCCCAAGTGGTCTTTTGGCTTATTTTTGAAATTTTGAAGTCACTATCTCCTGAGGTAGCTCATTCTGCCTTTGGATCACTCCGACTCTTAGAAAAGTCTTCCAGTAGTGAGCAGAACTTTCTCTGCTCTCCTGCTTCATTTGGTCCTCAAGAGATTCATTCTTGGGCAGATTCTCCAGGAAGAATTGACTGTGACTGAGACAAGACCTCTAAAGCAAGGATTGGGTATTCATTGTCAGGGTTTGAAAGAAAATCACTTCTGTTTCCTTTTAAGCCCCTAACTGGCATGGGTTTTCTATGAGCCTTCTCATTAGCTGAATCCATTCTAGATAGGTATCTATTTGTTCTCAAGAATACATCTGGATGTTAGAGTTAAAAACCTTCAGTTATTTGGATCCTCAGATATTTCTTCTTCTTTCTCTTGAAACTTTTCTAAATATTTATGTAGTCTCTGCTGCATGTAAGTGATGGTAGAGCTAACAAATGTTTTGCCCTTGTCTTTGGTAGGGCCCTGAGCCAAGCACTATAAATTTGGGCCTCCTCTCTCCTACTCTGACTTGCCAAGACAATGATAAGATTAATTATTTCCATAAAGAAGGGTGCTTTAGGGACTTCCTGGAGAGCTCGACTCATCTGTAGATATAGGAAGTTTGTAAAAGTGGTTTCTTACTTTCATAAAAGTAGTCAACAATGTGTCAGGACCCGTACAATACCCTTAATATAGTCTACAAAGTTATGTATGATGTGGACCTAACTTTTTCAGCCTCATTCTCACAATGCTCTTCCTTCTACTCTGAATTCCAGTTACACTGGCATTCTCTTAGTGAGTCAAATTTAGCATGTCCTTGCTGCCACAGGGCCTTGCCATGTGATGTTTCCCTGGTCCGAAATCCTCTTATTCCCAGTTAACTCTATTCCCAATTAACTCTTACTCATTGTCAGATATCAGCTAAGTATCAACATTACTTTCTTAGGGAAATCTTCCCAGACTACCACCCCCAAGTCTAGGTTATATTTATTTTTTATTTGATTTCAAATGGTATAAATACCTTCCTTTCAGCTCACCATATCAGTTTTAGTTTTAGTGTGATTATTCGATTAATGTCTACACTCTCTTAGACAGTCACACAGAGATTAGGTCTCTGTGTGACTTAAGTGCTATGCTCTCTGTCATAGCACTTAAGCATCAAGTACAGTCGGTGCTCAGTAGTATTTGTGGCATGAAAGAGGTATTTGTGGCAATTAGAACACAGCATGATAAATGCTATCCTTGGAGTAGGCAGAGAAGGCTATGGTCTAACCCAATCAAATAGAACCCAACCAAATAGAACATGTTCCCCAGGTAAATAATATCACATCAAGTAGTTCAAAATGCACAGGATTCCATCAGATGAACAAAGCAACAGGTGAGTAAGAGGTAACAAAAGCCTGAATGAGCTAATCAGTCATTGGATGGAGCTCGTGTCAATTTTCTCCCTGTGCAAATAAGAACTTTTGATCTTTCTATCCAGAAACAGGATGTTATTGAAAGTCCCATGTTGGATGGTGGGAGCTTTAAAGCTAGAAGGGAAACAAGCTTGTAAGGTGGCAATTGTATGCCATGTCATGTCTATAAGACAGTTAGATCCCTCCCAGAGCCTTGCTGAAGAAGATCAGCTTTGCTGGAGACTGCCTCCTCAATCACTGATGACTGGATGTCTGGAGATGGCAGAACTTGCAGGAGCCAAGGCTGAGGATTCCAAAGGGAAAAGAGGTGATGCCAAGTCAGGGCTGGATTACTAAGACTGTTCTTCAGTCTCTTGAAGGTTGGATCCAAAAATGCACAGGCAACTCTATAAAACCAGAGAAACCA